CATCTGAGAATCCTATCAGAGTTGCATGAACAGTGTCAAGTAGGCTTAGAAAAAACATTGGAAAAACATTTATTTATTTCAAACATTCTGTTTATGGAGAAATGTCGAGGTTCACGGTCGGCTAACACCACAGCCCTAATTGCCATTTTCTTAAAACAACTGGTCGTTATATTCTAGTTGTAGTTTCGGCAATCGAAGAAATGAACTTCGGAGATTTGATGCAATTTTAAGAAATTGCAGTGAAGAAGCCTAATAAAAACTCAAACTTCGACGGGATTGAACTCGTTCCTCCCAGACTCTCTTGGGTGTCACTAGCAGCTGAGCAACAAACTCACACTTCGGGAGCAAGCGGAATTTACTACGTCAGTAGTATGAATTGTGGTTTTATTTTTCAGCCGTTTGCAATTTTCAATACCGCCGATGCTATAAATGAAAATGCATTATTTTTCAGTCTTTTGAAATTTTCAATGCCGCCCGTACCATAAGTGAAAGTGCGTGCATCACAGGCAACTTGTCTATTAAGTGCTTTATGCAAATTTAAGTCGCGAACTTGAAGCCTTATGGTAACGTCTATTTGAGCATGTTCATGTATAATTGTTTAATCTCAGGAGAACACGATCCCTAATTCATTTTCTTAATGCGTTTAGGATTCCTCAAGGATAGCATGCAAAAACTCATCGTCATTTTAATCCAAGAACCTCTTGTACAATATACCGAAGATTTTCTAGAGTAAGATGACAGGCGTGTTAAGAATCTTTTGAATGTATAATTTATGCAGATTTAGGAGGTGAACTCAGAGCGGAAATGCCGCAAATTTGTGGTGTTTTGGAAATGTTTTTTCAGGTATAAGGTCCAGAAAAGTTCTTTTCACAGCAGGAGAAAATTCGAAGTGAAAAGTAGTGATATTTCACCCAGCCATTTACAAAAGGGTGGTGAAGCGAAAGTAATTACAGGTAGAGCGCATGCATATACTTTATTTTACCAATTAACCCGCCCACGAAGGAGATGACTTTAAACATTCCTTTGCAGAGATTTACGTGACGTTTAACACGATGTTGAAGTTGACTTTGGTTTTCGTGGTGATCTGTTTTGTTCTCATGTCAGAGGCTCGTAAATTACATGCGCGGCGCCATCAGGACACTGAACTTCACGGAAGGGAATTCTTAAAGGTTGGTTTATTGATAGAGGAAGAAGAGCAAAAATTAGAGGGCGATGCGAGACTGGAATGGAACGAGAGACAAATTTAGGAGAAAGGGTGTGTCGTTAGTCGCCAATCAAGCTTTTGCTTCCCGCACTTGTAGCACTAAGGAACCGGTAATTATTTATCACCTGACGGGGTGGTGTTTATTCAAATGATCTCACTCATTAGCAGTCAGTTTCCTTTATTCTTACCCTCAGACGCTGTTAACGACGACTGCTACCCCATCTATCCGCCCTGAAAACTGTGTGACGCCCCCACGCCCCCTTCCCCCCCAAAAAATCCTCCAACCCCGCCTCATCCCTCCCAAGCGATGAAATAGTGAATAATACATGTGCGCGCGTAAATATGGAATTTCTCTTCGAGCGTTCAACTAGATAGCCCACGAGTAAGCGCAGACAAGAAACTTCATATTTACAAACAACCATGTTTTATCTAACAAGCCAGAAGAGATTTATCTGAGAGAAATATTTAATTGTTTTTGTTACATCAACAATTTTCAGAAGCATCTGCATCGTCGCTCGTGTATTCCAGTTGGACAAACGGGCTGTGCGAAAAATGACGGCAATTGCTGTCGAAAAGGAAACCCGTTCACTGGAGTCAAGCGGAAGTGTGTAAACAAGGGCTCTTTTTTTGCTCCGTAAGTAAAAAGACTCAAACATTTGGTTAACAATGATTTATCCACTTGCATCAAGATCAATGATGAAACCTCTTATTTCCTCGACCAATGATGGTTGGCTTTTTGTATCTGAGACATTAATGTATCGCCTGTGTTCGTGTGAAATATCCTGAATATCTGGCAGGGGAAAGTTTTAACTTTTTACGAAAACAGCTAATAAAACGGTGATGAATAGTGCATGCCAATCAGCGCGCGTGAAAAGCATTACTCACTTGTGTGGTATCAGGCCAATAATAATTATGATAATTATAATGGTAGTAATAATTATCATAATATAGAACTAACTATACACAGTCCTCCCGCCAGATTCTCTCACCAGCTGCGTGGTCTTGTTCATTCGCCACGCCTCTAATTTCGGTTGGTTTTTTTTATATCCCAGGGAGTATACATGTGTGGAGCCATGAGGAAAGACTCGGTGGCAGATTCAAGAAAACACGAGGATTTTTTTTCTAGCGAATCTTGATTTGAGTCTTGTCAAATGCAAATAGGGTGGCTTCTGTAGACAAAAAGAGACATACACTCGACAACCTTGCACGCATGCACGCACACGCACCCACATGAGCGCAGGCGCGTCTCTTAGATCACAGCTCACTTACGACAGCAAATTCAATAATAAACTTCGGTTTTTTCAGTCACTCTGTTTCACTCTTTTTTTTTTTTAATTATTTTGACTTAAAAATCCATATTACGTGAGTCGCTGAATGAGAGAGTGTTCCTTCAATTTTTATCCCACTCTGCGCGCTGGACTCCAGGTTCGAGGGGCCTGGGTTTGAGTTCTGACTGGCATGAACACGGACGGGGGTCTAAGCAAGGAAAAACTAGAGAACCCTGACCTCAAGACTTTTACTAACAGCTGAGCTACAAACTCACACGTCGGGAACAAGTGAAATTTACTTCACCAGTAATATATGTATTTAGCTAAGCGTACAAGCGGAGCTCTTGTTAGTTCATTTTCCAGCCCTTCATTATACTTTCCAGCCCTTCATTATAAATACTCTTTAGCACAGGCTGTAGAAGAGTTTCTTCAAGGGGAAAAGAAACCAGACGACGTCTGGTTTGGAATCTGGGGACGATGTTGTCACAACTTGCAAAGCGATCAATACTCATGCTAGTCAGCGGTATCTTCAAATAGCTTAGGACCATCGCTGTTGTTCCTAATGTTTTGAGCAAATTTTCGAAGATAGGGAATGTTTTCTTCTTCAGATGAAGTGTATGATGTCAGCATCAGTTGAAATTATATTCCATTGAGCGTGACTTATAATTTCGGTTTGGGAAAATGAGCCAAAATTGAAAGAAACGACTGCAAACTACTTTGTGTTAAGACATCACTAGTCAATTGGAGTGTATACACGTGAGCCCAGTGAGTCAGTAAAACAATGCGCCAGAATCGTTTGGGCTTCTCTTATATCTTCTCTTGAAGTTGCCAGGTATGACTGATTGTCCCATCGTTTTTCCCTAACGTTTCAAACTCCTCTGTTTAGCGTAGAAAATTAAAAAGAAAAGTAATATTCAACTCGTTTTTGAGCCTGTAATTTTTTTTACACTTTTCCGCTTTCCGCTATTCTTCTTTCATGATTGCCCTCTGCCTGGAAATACACGATGTCTTTTTCTGATATTTTCTCTTAATTAATTCGGTAATCTTTGGTGTAACTGCATATAATGTGGATGTCTTCAAGAAAACTTGAGATAATACCTGCATTTCATTTCCACATCACAGAAATCAATTCCAAAAATCAATCAAGTTTTCTCTTTAGTTTAAAAGTTGATGTTGTTATTGGCTATATTAGATAGGTTGAAAAGTTTTAGATGGCATTTCCTCATGTTTGCCGATGGCAAATAAATTTTGTTGATATGTAAAAGGTTTTCATTTGACTATCTACTGGCAAGTCTTTGTATTATATTTCAATCCAACCATTTTCCACAACTTGTAAACACCATTACAAAATAATTAATCAGGGGATGTAAAATTTGTGGCATATACACCATGTTTGAAATACCATGTCCATAAAAAGCTAACAGGATTGAGGAGGCTGTATTTGGGAATAGGCTCCCTTGTCCGTATCATTTATTAGCTGCTTGCTCCTGTTGGCAATGTTTTGAGGAGGTTGGGCCGTCAGGGCAAAGGAACTGAGGATTTTAGTAGGTAATGACTTGTGACTTACTTCTAACAAGCTGGTGGAGAGCCCTTAGACCGGTTCTAATACTTCCACAGTAGCCCATTATTGTGAAAGCCAAACTTGTGCCTGGTTAATTATTAGCTAGCACACAGAGATATAAAAGAGGCTTTGTGGAAAAAAAACCAAAGCAATAAAATTAAAGATTCAGGAAAAGCATATGACATCAACTAGTTAACTGATGTTCTCACCTGAATTCAATCTGGAAAGAGAGCTCTGCAACTCTACTGTTTCATCTTCTCACACTTAAAATTAAATTAAAACATAAAATTTAATTATCTGCAGGCAGGTTAAGGAGGAAATTAAAGGAATGGATATATGTTACATAAAAAGAAACCCCATACAATAAAAATAAAGCCGGAGCATATTACCTACATGTCTATGCTTCTGAATACAGCTTTAATTTTTTAAGCAGTTATCTACATATGTAAATCGGGTGCAGTTTATCGACAGTCAATCAAGTAGTTTCCTAAAATCGTATGGAATGTATAAAATGAGCTTCACTTTTGCTGCATATACGGAATTATCGTTCCTAATTACTGATGAAATTCCGAGAGTGTGACTCAATTAATTTAAAATAAAATATCCAAGCAGGTTATAGAAATGGTTCACAAATTATAAACTGATGATTTGTTAACAAAACCTCCCTAAATTATGGTACCGATACGAATTTATCGTTCATAATCACTTATGAAATTCCGAGATTGTACCTTAACGAATTCATCAGAAAATATCTAGGAAGGTATCAGAAACGGACTCTCAAAAACGGCCCTTGAATTCGAAAAATGGAAACAACATAACTTACGCTAACCATGTGCTTACCAGCGTGCTTGTGAAATCAAATTGTCAGGAACCCGTTTAATTACACGATCGCAGCACGGACGCTGTTGAAGTCCTAAATGTAATAACTGTCCTAAATGTAATAAAGTCCTAAATGTAATAACATTTGGTCCTAAATGTAATAAAGTCCTAAATGTAATAACATTTAGTCCTAAATGTAATAAGCCTCCAATGCAATCGTTGACTCCTGCTGTGCATTGTTGTCATGGCGGACATCCATATTGATATGTTAGTGACAGCTGTTGCACCAAAAAACCGCTGACCAGTATACATGTCACATTATGGGCTCACTGATATCAATCAGCATCCTTTTACTTGCTAGACATAAGAAATATCAGCAGTCGAAGTATGGTCCTTAAAGCGGTTTATCGATCGAGTTGAAGAAAATCATTTCCAGCCCAAAGTGGGCTAGTGCTTGGCTGGAAGCTCAATAGGATGGAATCGATTGGTACGTAACCATTAAGACTTTTTGGAAAAGAAATTGACTACAATTGATGATGAACTAGCATGCTATTGTTGATGTTATCGTTCGTGTTAAAGTCTTTAGTAGTGATGCACCATTTTAGAGCAGTTTGAATGATTTCGCTGTGTCACATGTTAATCCAAAAGAAAATTATTATTATCAGTAGCGCTATTGAAATTTTGCACATCAATGTTATTCAGTGTCGATTGATTCTGATGAAGCATTCGAGTTCATTTTAAGAATGACTATCCTGATTTATTCAATTTTGAACTTGGGGTATTGCATTTCCAGCCTTCTATGGCTTTACTCCACCTCAGTAATCAGTTCATGTACCATATGACTATAAGTGGAAACTGTTGAGCTTTCTTTTTTCATTCATCTATTTATCTATTCATTTTCTCCCCTCACGGCGGGGAGAAGAGGTGAAGACAAAAAATGAAATATAAACTTGAGATCAACTGTAAAATATATGTTTTCCTAATATTTCGGTTCGCGGAACTGATGAACTCGTCATAAGGGGCTAAAGGAAAAAAATTAATGGTTCATTAGACCGTCAACTTACCATCATGTGTTGATTGGTGTAGCTCAATGGTTCAATTTGACTCTTGCGTGGAAAAAAGGTAACGTGTCAAGACCTGTGATCGTGAAATGGGATAGCATATGATTGGTCAGTCGATATCTTGCTCTGCAAGTCACTTTATCAAATAGCTAGCAGCGCACATGGGCAAGATGAAGTGAATCCTGTGTTCTGATTGGCTACCTGAGCGGGCATGATGGGCCCACCCTCGCCCGCTCGGGATACCCCGTATTGATCCCACGCAAGAAAACTTACAAAGTTCGTAACTTTTGGACAATGTTTGCATATACATAGAAAAAAATAAACGATCCTCTTGGGTTTATTGTACTGCAAACACAGTTGGCTTTCACTATCGGCTCTCGAAATAAACAGGCCATTCTTGATTCTTATCAAAGCGAAATCTTTTGCTATACAATAAATTCTTTAACGATTAAGCCAAGAGAATATAAACTCTCTTGACCAAGCTTGTATGGTCAAGATTACTGGATATTAGCCTCGTTCTTTTTCTACTTTTTTATGGACCGTGACCTCGTCTCCGCCCATAAAAACGCAAAAAAAAAGAACTCAGCCAATATATAGCCATTTTGACCTCACGCTCGGTCAATAACGCATATGAATATATTTTATGCAGACCCGTACAAATCTGGCAAGGAAAGACAGTACAAAGAATGCCCTTCTGAGCCCAGAATTTGTCTAACGTATAGGTCGGTGGACTTCTTTTTCCTTGTAATTAGGTTCATCAAGTGTTAACTTCAGCACTGATGACAGAAGTATTTCGTCAAAATCTGTTACACTTAAGAGTCTGAGCCAATGATATAGAGAGAGCTATTAGTCAACGTTCTTGTTGCTTTTGTGTCTGTCAATTTGATGCTAAAAGCACATCAGTATCAGTATAAGGTTTTGTAGCCAAT